ACACACACACACACACACACACACACACACACACACGTGTGTGAAATTAAATTCTATTCAACACTCTGTAAGAGAGCAGCTGATGATTAAAAGCATCAGTCTATGAATGATTTCACCGTTTACAGATCAAACTGCAGCTAAACGCGCTTTTGAATTCTACATTCATATGCATAAGAGGTTATTCTGATTACACCTGCAGAAATATCGATCATTTTAAATCACTGTTCACATAAACAACAACCTGTTGCTGTAAATAAACACGGAGTAAATCACGTCAGAGTCATATTCACACGGAAGTATAAATGCATAAAAACATTTAAAGGCAGGAGCTCACCTGAACACAGCAGGAAATAGAAATGAAGAACAGATCAGAAGAGTTCAGCTCCGAATCGAAACCAGTCTGGCTGCTTGCGGAGTCCGCGTGCTGTTAACACGCACATGCTCTCGGCCCCGCCCCCCCAACACACGAGCCAATCAGAGAGCGCACATATACATCATTTCTTTCTAATATTTAATATTCATTTCCAGCACTTCAGTGTCACATGATCTTCAGAAATCATTCTAACGTGCTGATTTATTATTAGAATTATCAACAGCTTTTTTGGAAGCTGTGACACTTTGTTTCAGGATTCTTTGATGAATGAAAAGTTCAAAAGAAGAGCATTTATTTAAAATAGAAATATTTTCTAATAATACACACTACAGTGTTTGGGGTCGGTACATTTTTATTCTTTCTTTTTCTGAAAGAAATGAAAACTTTTATTCAGCGAGGATGTGTTAAACTGATAAGAAGTGATAGCAAAGATTTATATTGTTAGAAAAGATTTATATTTTGAATAAATGCTGTTCTTTTGAACTTTTTATTCATCAAAGAATCCTGAAAAAAGTATCAGTATCCTAAAAAACTGTTGATAATTCTAATAATAAATCAGCATATTAGAATGATTTCTGAAGATCATGTGATCTTTATACTGGAGTAATGATGATGGAAATTCAGCTTTGCATCACAGAAATAAATTATATTTTAAAGGATATTCAAATAGAAACCATTATTTTATATTGTAACAACATTTTGCAAGATTACTGTTTTTTTTCTGTATTTTTGATCAAATAAATGCAGCCGTGAAGAGCAGAAGACACTTCTTTAAGTCTTACTGACCGGTAGTGTGTGTATATACAGTATATATATATATATATGGTACGGAGTTCCCATCTGGCAAAAATTAATTTCTACTTAATTCCTTGTTATTCTGAAAAAAATACAATATATTGCAATATGGTAATTAAAGGGCTGGCTTTAAGGTAGTCAATGATGTGCTGTTTTTAAGTCAAATGACATTTGAACGTTCCTCCAAAACACACAAAGCCTGGATGCACTGGTTGAGCTAAATTAATATGATCTAATTGTGTACTTAAATGTAACAGCTGACCGCTACAGTAATACAAAATCCCCTTCGTTCATTATTATTGTCAGTGCTAAACTGTATGAACAAGATATGTCAAGATTATGAAGGTCATTTATTTGAAGATAAGTAGCTATGTGTAGAGTCCAATTTGTTTATAAAGGAAATTAAAAGTCATAAAAGGATTGCATTAAGTTATTTAATTAAAATGATAAAAGACCAACAGAGCAAACAAGGTGATATCCGACAACCATTTTTTTTAAATATAAAAATGAACTCTGCTTATCAACTATTCAAGCATCATAACCTGACCAGAGCATTACTTCCTGATTTAACCAATATCATTTTTTAAGAATGGATGAACTTAAGAAATTGGTAGATATTTTTACAGTGCAATTTAAAAATAACATACAATTTTATTAATTTGCATGACTTCTCCAGATTTAGAAATCTCACTTTTAAATGTAAGCCTTCTCGTATGGGTTTGCCGATATATTTTAGAGATTGACATATTATTAAAAAATGAGCACACTGTAAAAACTAATGTTAAAAAAAATTAACTTATGGCAACATGTTTTCCTGTTACTTTAGTAGTATATTTTAGCCAGTGCTGTAAAAAAAAGTCATGTAAAAAAAAAAATAATAATAATAAATAAAAAAAATAAACATGTTTTTCCATTACTTCAGCTCATTAAAATAATTTAAACAATTTTAACTTCATTTTTTAAGCTATAGGAGATTCAACCCAATTTTTTTAACTCAAGATAACTTAGTTTAATTTACGATTTAATTTAATATGACATTGAATTTAAAAACTGAAGGCAGTAAATTAATGTAAGTTAAGTTGAAACAGACAAATTTACATGATTTTTCCAGATCTAGAAATCAGACTTAAAAAATTAAGCTCTCATAGAGTTTTTTTTCCTTCTCCAAACATTGAGGAGGTGAATTAAGATAAAAAAAATAATATATTTTTGTCTTATTTCAATGCATTTCTCTAATCGAGAAGCACAGTTAAAAGAACTGAGACTATACATGCACACCAATAACGCCTGTAAAATCAGCATTACGTTTACTACATTTATGGCTCTTAGAATTAATTGCATCAACTGTTGTGTTGTTTACACAGTAAAATGCAATGCCAATATAGCCTACACTGTAAAAAAAAATCCATGTACGGTAAACAAACGGCAGCTGTGATTGCCGGAATTTTACTGTATAAAATACGGTAGCAACATTTTAGGTTTTAACTTAAATTTACAGTTAAATACCGTAATTTCATTAACTGATATAATGTTACCAACCTATTGAAGTACTGAAATCTGTTTTGTACCTTTGTAATACACTGATAAACACGCTAAACACCATCACGGTAACACACATGAAACTGAAATAATGCAATAAACATTAATTTAACAACATTAGGTGTAACACACAACCCTAATATACAAAACTCACAAGAAAAAACTAAGAAGAAACATAGTTATTTCAACAAAAAAACATCAAATTTGAAATGTAACACAGGGAATTCTGGGAATGTCAATTTACGGTTATTCACTGTAAATTATATGGTCCAAAAACGGTATACTACCGTAAAATTACATGTAATGTCCAATACAGTTTTTCACCGTATATAGTAGGGGAATTTACTGTTAACCATTTAACAGGTTTTTACTGTAGCATTTTTAGTCTTTTACCGTTAAATTCACGGTCATTTTTTACAGTGTAACTCTCATCATGACGATGCACATATTTAGAACACCACACCGTTCTAAACTTCTGAAAGTCAAACGTCCCGTCTAAAATACAGTACAGAGTTCACAGCGCCGATCTGACGTGTGATGCATTAGGCCCTCGGGAACGTCATGCGACAAAAGCATCACAAAAAACATGATAAAGAGTCCAGAAAGAGGAAGATCTGATGCACTCCATTTCATCTACATCTCTCACAGTGCTTTTAAACGGCAAAAACATCCCACACAACGCTTCCCCATAAACACGGTTTCATTATTAAACACAAAACGAGATTGAAACGAATTGGAATCTCTTCAATTGCTGCAACGCATTGCGACGCGCTAAATAAAACTCCAGGATTTAACAATGCACTAACATCAGAGGACTGACACGCCCATTATTTTTAAGACTTTCTTCTAAATCAGCGAGTTATGAGCTGCTTTTAGCCTTGAGATGTTTTGTGAATAGGGGCCCCGCTGTCAGATGCGGTTGTACATACAGTAGAAGATGCATCTGATTGCTTTTGTGTTTTTGTTGATGAAGAGTCTCTTTTATGCATGCATTGATCTGATGACTTTCAGTGTAAAATACGCAACAATAGAGATCATCAAACAGTGGGAAAACCCTATTACAGCACTGTTGTCATAGCAACTGAAAACAGGAAACAGATCAAAGTAATATTAGCAACCACTGAAATACTGGGAATTACTAGAACGTGGTGTGTCACAATTAACTATCAGTCATTCAGTTTGGTCCCGAACGCACTCCACACAGCTTTCTATTAAATGCATTCAAGTGGACATCACTACCTAATCATTTTAAAGTTTGGCTTTATAATATAAATAGCTGCATGCGAACCGGAGTAATTATCGTTAACTGAAACTTAAACCATTTTCGTTACTTGAAATAAAATAAAATAAAAATAAATCATTAAAAAATGTTAAATATAAATAAAATAATAAAGTAAATGATTTTATTTCAGCTGGTTCCCAACATTTATTTTTGTTTAGTTTAATTTGAAGTTCTAAAATAAACTAATGACTACATAAGATAAAAATAATCAATAAAAATGAAAACATACATATCTAGAAAAAAACTAATAAAAATGACAAAAAACATTTTAACTAAAATTAAAAGACAATATAAAAATAAAGTAATTATCGTTAACTAAAACTTAAATCATTTTCGTTACTCGAAATAAAATAAATGTTAACCGAAATAAAATAAAAAATAAATCATTAAAAAATATATAAAATAATACAAATAAAATAAATGATTTTATTTCAGCTGGTTCCCAAGCCGACATTTCTTATTTTTGTTTCATTTAATATGAAGTTCTAAAATAAATAACTAAAATAAACGAATGACTACATAAGCTAAAAATAATCAATAAAAAAATAGAAAAAAAACTAATAAAAATGACAAAACTAAATTTTAACTAAAATTAAAACAAAATAGAAAAATAAAATCAAAATAGTAACAACTATAACAGTATTTGATGATACTAAAATAACAGTAGCACGAACATTTAGTTTAATTTGAAGTTCTTAAATAGCTAAAACTAATTAAGAAAATTAATGAAAACCAGCTCCCACTCAGACTTCGCTACTGAAGAGAAACGCTTCTGAAAAAGATTCCTATGAGTTAACTATGAGCAATACTTCTAACATTTACTAATACATTATCAAAATAAAACGTTTTATCTATTAATATTTTTAATAGACCCGAGTCCACAAACTGTAAGCAGTTTGTTTTTTACTAACTAACATTACTCTCAAAAAACATTTAGATCTAAATGTAGGATTTTTGTATTTGAATTGCATATACATTTAAAAATATATATTAAAAATGACCAAAACTTAAAAATGAATAAATAAAACGATTAATAAAAACTATAATTGTATCTAATGAATAAGAGTGCTGTCAAACACAATTACATGCATCTTTACGAATGAAAATCCCTTTATTCAGATCCAGAAACAATGAGAGTGAAAACAGTTTCAATGCGTTACAAACTTTATTATTTTCCATTGACTTTGCCAACATGTTTAAAACCCTTCTTCTTCTTGCTCTTCTTAATCTTCTTAGTAAAGCCAGCAGACTGAACCTAAAAAACAACAGGGAAGTTACACATTAAAGACATTTCTCACCACATTCAGTTAATATACATATATATATATATATTATACACAGTATATATATATATATATATATATATATATATATAGGCAAGGCAAGTTTGTTTATATAGCACATTTCATACACAATTACAATTCAAAGTGCTTTACATAAAAGGAATAAAATAAAAACATCACAAAATTAATCACAACAATAGAAGCAAAGCATAAAAATGTTAAAATGATAAAAAAAAGAATTAACATTTGTGTATAGTGTAAATCTGTTATTTTAGTACAAGATATGATTGTAGTTTCTGTTAATATTTTGAAATAGTTGATTTTATATTTTCAGTTAATAAATTGTATTAATTTTGTTCTGTTTTTGTCCATTTAATATATATATATATATATTTAGTTTTTATTCATTTCTATTTCAGTTTTAGTTATTTTAGCACATCAAGTTAAACGAGAAATGTTGTTTTGGCAAGTAGCTGAAATAAGTTTTTTTATTTTAAGTAATGAATTTTTATTAATGTTTTTGTTAACTATAATAACACTGATATGCAGCACTGTGTAGTTACTGCATGCAGTTAATTTAAGCAAGGCTAGTGTATTTATAGCACAAAGTGCTTTACATAAAAATAAAAAAATAAAAAAATATTAAAAAATAGATTTAAAATGAATTAAAACGAGCATATAGTGCAATGATTCGTGTATAGTGTTATTTTAGTATAATTGAGATATGACTCTAGTTTTTGTTAATATTTTGAATTAGTTTTTATATTTTAATTTTCCCTTAATTTTAATAAATTGTATTGATTTTTGTTAGTTTGTCATTATATTAGCCTTTTTTTTTTTTAAATGTATTGTAATATTTACTTTTTATTTTATTTTTAACTGTAACTATACCAATATGTGACACTATAAATCCAACACATGTAAATCAAACACAAGATTCACATTTTTAGTGATTAAACTGTCATTGTTGTTGACATTTAGCTTCCATTATCACAGCAAACGTGATTCAGTCACACTCACCTTTTTGCGTTTCTGCATCTGGTTTTCTACTTCCATTTCAGACACATCTTCCTCAGCATCACTGGCGTTCTGCTCATCGTCCGTCTTCTTCACGGTGAACACAGACGCTGCAGAGAGACACGGCTGACGTTAGCGATTAGTGCTGTCAAACGATTAATCACATCCAAAATAAAAGTTTTTGTTTACATAATATATGTGTGTGTACTTTATGCATATATAAATACACACATACAATATATATTTTGAAAATATTACATGTATATATTTATGTTATATATACACATTTAATATATAAACATATAACATTTTTCTTAATTATATACATGCATGTGTGTGTATTTATATATAACAGGGTTGCCCTCAATTTAAGATTTTTCTGGTCGACTAGTAGTCGTTCATTTTAAGCATTAGTCGACACTCTCTGCTCCACTCTAACATCTTGCTTAGACAACTTAGGTTGTCTTTCAGGGTGTCTTGGAGGGGTGAGGTTTCTAAGTCACAACTTCTTGCTACTGGGGTTCCTCAAGGCTCAGTGCTTGGACCGCTTCTCTTCTCCATCTACATGTCATCATTAGGATCTGTCATTCAGAAGCATGGCTTTTCTTATCTCTGCTATGCTGATGCCATCACTGCTATGACATTTAAATCATTATAATGAGACTTTAATGGCCTACATAGCCTAATAAGCGCTCAAGCACATGCATAAAGCTTGCCATAGCGCACCGGCAGAAGTAATGATTATTAATGTGTCAGTGAAAAACAGTAAGGAGACTGTATTAACATTTTAATAATTTGATAAACTAGTGGTTACTTAGTTTTCGGTTTAAGAGATGAACTCGGCGACACTGACTCGTCATCTCCGCAGCAGTGGACGCATCTGTATGCATGTTTCATACGGTTTACATAATCTAAGAATATTAGTTTTCCATTTGAAAGTAGACATTTCACTCTTACTGTAATATAGTGTACTGTAGTGTAATGTACTGTAATATAGTGTACTGTAGTATAGTGTACTGTAGTGTTGTGTAGTGTACTATAGTGTACTGTAGTGTAGTGTAGTGTAATATAGTGTACTGTAGTGTAGTGTAATATAGTGTCCTGTACTGTAGTGTACTGTAGTGTTGTGTACTGTAATATAGTGTACTGTAGTGTAGTGTACTGTAGTGTTGTGTAGTGTACTGTAATATAGTGTACTGTAGTGTTGTGTAGTGTAATATAGTGTACTGTAGTGTAGTGTACTGTAGTGTTGTGTACTGTAATATAGTGTACAGTTAAACGAGAAATGTTGTTTTGGCAAGTAGCTGAAATAAGTTTTTTTATTTTAAGTAATGAATTTTTATTAATGTTTTTGTTAACTATAATAACACTGATATGCAGCACTGTGTAGTTACTGCATGCAGTTAATTTAAGCAAGGCTAGTGTATTTATAGCACAAAGTGCTTTACATAAAAATAAAAAAATAAAAAAATATTAAAAAATAGATTTAAAATGAATTAAAACGAGCATATAGTGCAATGATTCGTGTATAGTGTTATTTTAGTATAATTGAGATATGACTCTAGTTTTTGTTAATATTTTGAATTAGTTTTTATATTTTAATTTTCCCTTAATTTTAATAAATTGTATTGATTTTTGTTAGTTTGTCATTATATTAGCCTTTTTTTTTTTTAAATGTATTGTAATATTTACTTTTTATTTTATTTTTAACTGTAACTATACCAATATGTGACACTATAAATCCAACACATGTAAATCAAACACAAGATTCACATTTTTAGTGATTAAACTGTCATTGTTGTTGACATTTAGCTTCCATTATCACAGCAAACGTGATTCAGTCACACTCACCTTTTTGCGTTTCTGCATCTGGTTTTCTACTTCCATTTCAGACACATCTTCCTCAGCATCACTGGCGTTCTGCTCATCGTCCGTCTTCTTCACGGTGAACACAGACGCTGCAGAGAGACACGGCTGACGTTAGCGATTAGTGCTGTCAAACGATTAATCACATCCAAAATAAAAGTTTTTGTTTACATAATATATGTGTGTGTACTTTACGCATATATAAATACACACACATACAATATATATTTTGAAAATATTACATGTATATATTTATGTTATATATACACATTTAATATATAAACATATAACATTTTTCTTAATTATATACATGCATGTGTGTGTATTTATATATAACAGGGTTGCCCTCAATTTAAGATTTTTCTGGTCGACTAGTAGTCGTTCATTTTAAGCATTAGTCGACACTCTCTGCTCCACTCTAACATCTTGCTTAGACAACTTAGGTTGTCTTTCAGGGTGTCTTGGAGGGGTGAGGTTTCTAAGTCACAACTTCTTGCTACTGGGGTTCCTCAAGGCTCAGTGCTTGGACCGCTTCTCTTCTCCATCTACATGTCATCATTAGGATCTGTCATTCAGAAGCATGGCTTTTCTTATCTCTGCTATGCTGATGCCATCACTGCTATGACATTTAAATCATTATAATGAGACTTTAATGGCCTACATAGCCTAATAATCGCTCAAGCACATGCATAAAGTTTTTTTTTTTTAAATGTATTGTAATATTTACTTTTTATTTTATTTTTAACTGTAACTATACCAATATGTGACACTATAAATCCAACACATGTAAATCAAACACAAGATTCACATTTTTAGTGATTAAACTGTCATTGTTGTTGACATTTAGCTTCCATTATCACAGCAAACGTGATTCAGTCACACTCACCTTTTTGCGTTTCTGCATCTGGTTTTCTACTTCCATTTCAGACACATCTTCCTCAGCATCACTGGCGTTCTGCTCATCGTCCGTCTTCTTCACGGTGAACACAGACGCTGCAGAGAGACACGGCTGACGTTAGCGATTAGTGCTGTCAAACGATTAATCACATCCAAAATAAAAGTTTTTGTTTACATAATATATGTGTGTGTACTTTATGCATATATAAATACACACATACAATATATATTTTGAAAATATTTACATGTATATATTTATGTTATATATACACATTTAATATATAAACATATAACATTTTTCTTAATTATATACATGCATGTGTGTGTATTTATATATAACAGGGTTGCCCTCAATTTAAGATTTTTCTGGTCGACTAGTAGTCGTTCATTTTAAGCATTAGTCGACACTCTCTGCTCCACTCTAACATCTTGCTTAGACAACTTAGGTTGTCTTTCAGGGTGTCTTGGAGGGGTGAGGTTTCTAAGTCACAACTTCTTGCTACTGGGGTTCCTCAAGGCTCAGTGCTTGGACCGCTTCTCTTCTCCATCTACATGTCATCATTAGGATCTGTCATTCAGAAGCATGGCTTTTCTTATCTCTGCTATGCTGATGCCATCACTGCTATGACATTTAAATCATTATAATGAGACTTTAATGGCCTACATAGCCTAATAAGCGCTCAAGCACATGCATAAAGCTTGCCACAGCGCACCGGCAGAAGTAATGATTATTAATGTGTCAGTGAAAAACAGTAAGGAGACTGTATTAACATTTTAATAATTTGATAAACTAGTGGTTACTTAGTTTTCGGTTTAAGAGATGAACTCGGCGACACTGACTCGTCATCTCCGCAGCAGTGGACGCATCTGTATGCATGTTTCATACGGTTTACATAATCTAAGAATATTAGTTTTCCATTTGAAAGTAGACATTTCACTTTCTATAGATATATTTTTAATGTCTGTAAAGCAAACATACACAGAGTTCACGCTCGAGTTCACAGAGACCGAGACGGCAGAAAGCAAGCGCATCCTGTTTGCGCTCATTATTTTACAAAAGCGCAATGTTTTGTTGTTATTGTGAGTGCACACGAATAAACGTAGAGTCTTTACAGATTTTAAAGATGTATTACTCTTATCTGTATGACCAAAAATGAGGGAGTATTTTAAGAGCAAGCCTCCATCTGTCCTGCTATAGCGCACATTTCTCTAGATTAACATTAGATTGAGCGGCCATGTAAAGTTGCTAATACTTACATATTTCAGATGATAAGCCATATTTGAGGTGGATGTATTATCATAGACTAGCTGTTAACGATCTGTTAGTCACTAACTGCGTGACTTTGCCAGTGGATTTTTTTACATTTTTGTTTTCTGCAACTAAGCGACTAATAAAATTTTGGTCGACCAAGCCTCTTCTGGCCGACTAATGATTAGTCGACTATTAGGGGGCAGCCCTAATATACACTAGTCAGCATTTGAAGTGGATCAAAACCTTTCATCAAAGTTGTCCTAAAACCAAAATGCGTTCTTGTCTTAGGACAACTTTGATCCACTAGTCAAATGTTGACTACTGTATACATAATAAATATACACAGTACACACATAAATGTGTCCCTGGAGCACAAAAGCAGTGTTAAGTCGCTGGGGGATATTTGTAGCAATAGCCAACAATACATTGTATGGGTCACAATTATACATTTCTCTTTTATGCCAAAAATCATTAGGATATTAAGTAAAGATCATGTTTTGTAAATCTCCTACCGTAAATATATCAAAACTTAATGTTTGATTAGTAATATGCATTGCTAAGAACTTCATTTGAACAACTTTAAAGATGATTTTCTCAATATTTAGATTTTTTTGCACCCTCAGATTCCAGATTTTCAAATATTGTCCGATCCTAACAAACCATACATCAACGGAAAGCTGATTCATTCAGCTTTCAGATGACGCATAAATCTCAATTTCGAAAAATGGACCCATATGACTGGTTTTGTGCTCCAGGGTCACATATATTATGTAAACAAAAACTTTTATTTTGGATGTGATTAATCGCGATTATTCATTATTAATGAAGAGCGGCACTGACGCGGGTAAAGATCGGACATGCTGTCCGAGGAGTCGCTGTCCTCGCCGTCGCTCGAGTTCGGGGTCCAGACGCCGCTGTCCTGCTTCCTGCTGGCTCGTCGTTCACTTCCTGCGGCCCGACCCTCACTTCCTGCAGCCTCTTTGGGTCTCCTCTTCTTCTTGAGCTGCACAGGAACGAACTCCACACCCTGCCGGACACACTCCTCGTCTGACCACAACAACACAAGCGCTCAGTAACGTCATGCAGAGCTGTGATGGGTCAAAGAAACGCGGCTGTGTGACTTACACTGCTCCAGAGCCCTCCTGTAGCGTCTGCCGCTGACGTGACGCAGAACATGCTGCGGCACACGGTTGATGTGACGTAACGTGAGCTTGCAGAAGAGATGATCTCTGAGGAAAAACACAATGCAAATATATGAATATGAATTCAACATGAAATCAAAACTAGGGCTGGGACAATTTTTTTTTTTTATTAATCGTTTTTAAAATGACGTAGTGTAGTGTACTGTAATATAGTGTACTGTAGTGTTGTGTAGTGTAATATAGTGTACTGTAGTGTAGTGTACTGTAGTGTTGTGTACTGTAATATAGTGTACTGTAGTGTTGTGTAGTGTAATATAGTGTACTGTAGTGTTGTGTAGTGTAATATAGTGTACTGTAGTATAGTGTACTGTAGTGTTGTGTAGTGTACTATAGTGTACTGTAGTATAGTGTACTGTAGTGTTGTGTAGTGTACTATAGTGTACTGTAGTGTAGTGTACTGTAGTGTTGTGTACTGTAGTGTTGTGTACTGTAGTGTTGTGTAGTGTAATATAGTGTCCTGTACTGATATTTTAAAGTCGTCTCAGACTGGCTATACTGGCTCTTATATAATCAGTATTTAGAATAATGAAATATTTAGAGCCGAGACAGCAGCGGGTTGATATTTCTGATGAGGCGCGCTATCGGACGCTCGAGATAGTCAGCTGATACTGAGCTGTTATATGTGTTTTCTTCTGCGTGTCGCTTTTTAATAATCTGATATTAATTAATAAAGATGTCTGGACCAAACGGAGATCCTGATGTTTCAGCTGATGATGGAATCGTCGAGGATGAAGAGGAATTCAGTGAAGAAGGTATTAAAGTCTTTATTATCATCTCACTCTCAGTACTGTAACATACCCGGATGTTTTACTGTAGAATTACTTTGTAACTCTATTATTCTCAGTGATGATTTTTAATCGTTTCTGACTACTGCAATAGATCTTTGTTTTATTTTATATATATATATATACATTTTCCAATTATATAGTTTATTACATTCTTCTGACTACTGCAATAGATCTTTGTTTTATTTTATATATATATATATACATTTTACAATTATATAGTTTATTACATTCTTATGAGTAACTCCTCAAATTAATACAATTATATTATAATTAATTATATAAATAAAAATAAAATTCAGTGCATTTTTAATAACTATATAAAATGTGTTCATATTTTTATTAATAACAATATTTTTAATGTTTATTAACAGTGATCAAATATAATATAAATTATTATCATGATTAATATATTAATTATAGCTTCTATATAAAGATTTTATTATTTTTATTGTATTATTAACTTACTACTTAAATATATACTTTTTTATCAGTATTTATTGATAATTATATATTACAAATTATTATTTATTAGTAATTATATACATGTTCCTTATAATTTTATAGTTATTTCATCATTTGAATTTTTTATTATTCATTACAAATTATATATACGTGCCTGTAAAAAATTTAAATGTATGATGTGACAATAATAATAACTAATTCTAATATAAGACACATATGCAGTGATATAAAAACAGCTGAAGCTCTGAATGGCGCTGCATTAGGTGCAATATCAGCACAAGAGTGTTTGGTACGAATGAGTCAGTGTGGTTTGATGTCTGATCAGAATACACAGCCATCGACTGCATGCTGGACCAGATCAACTCCTGTCTGGACCACATCGAGGAGAGAAACCAGGCTCTGAACGGAAAACTGCACGAGCTGCTGGAGTCCAACAGAGAGGCTCGGAGAGAGTTCAGAGAGCAGCATCCTCCTGATGAAGAGCCAGAGTCCGCTGAAGACTAGAGGAGCGTGTGTGGAAACTGTCTAAACTGTGCTTAGCCTCGCATGGCTTATCACTTTCATATGTGTTATTATAGTCAGCTATGAATATAAAAGCTTTAGGGATGCAACGCTACAGTTCAGTTCGTGCCTCGGTGTTCTGATAGCTTGTCACATCTGTGTTTCTCGCAACAAATCAATAACAAAAAACTGTGCACACTGGAAAAAGCGTGGATTATTATATGCCTGCTTAAAGGGATAGTTCACCCAAAAATGAAATGTGATGTTTATCTGCTTACCCGCAGGGCATCTGAGATGTAGGTGACTTTATTTCTTCAGTAGAGCTCATTTGATGATTTGTAACTTTAACCGTTGCAGTCTGTCAGTCGTATAATGCATGGCAATGGTAACAAAATCTATGAGAGTAAAAAAAACATGCACAGACAAATCCAAATTAAACCCTGCGGCTCGTGACGACACATTGATGTCCTAACACACGAAACGATCGGTTTGTGCCAGAAACCCAACAGTATTTATATCATATTTTCCCTCTAATACACCACTATGTCCAACGGTTCTGAGCCTGCTCGCCTGAAGTTATGGTTGATTGCTCTTCGGCTGGATATCAACACACCCGTTAACGTAAACTACGCCAGAGCGCGTACACACCTCACACACCGGACGCCGTGCGCGCACACAAAGACAGCTGGACATAGCGGTGTATTAGAGGGAAAATATGATATAAATACTGTTGGGTTTCTGGCACAAACCGATGGTTTCGTGTGTTAGGACATCAATGTGTCGTCACGAGCCGCAGGGTTTAATTTGGATTTGTCTGTGCATGTTTTTTTTACTCTCATAGATTTTGTTACCATTGCCATGCATTATACGACTGACAGACTGCAACGGCTGGAGTTAAAAATCATCAAATTGATCCGTGTATTTCTAAGCGACATAGCCTTTATTACAGTATAGAATATATTTTCTGCCTCATTCTGTGATGAGAAGCACTCGACTGATGTTATAATGTTCTCTTTTGTTGGACAACAGGTTTGTCATTACAAGGAAAGATGCATTTTAATGCACGATAAAAGTGTTTCCTCACACACAGCCAATTCTGAGAGAAATAAACAAACACAGGGATATTATTTAAAACGCAAAAACGCATTCTCAAGCACGTATTGAACCGTGGATATTATATCAAGAACTCTGACATCCCTAAAAAGCATAAAAACATTTGTTACTTGAAATAAATTAAACTTTAAATAAAATACAAAAATCATTACCCAGTTGCCAAGGCATCATTTCTCATTTAAATTGTTTAACTTGATTTGATCAAATAACCTAAATATAAATAAAAATTAATAAAAAACTATGCAGACATATTAAACAAAACAGACAAAAAAACTACTAAAAATTAGAAAAACACAAAATTACTAAAAACTTTAACTCATAATGAAAAGAGAAAATATTAAATCAAAATAGAAAATATTTAAAAAATACAAATATAAAAAATGAAAATATTAAAAGCTCTCTCAACGATACTAAAATAACATTGATATGGGAAAACAATTTTAAATAATATTATCAAGGAAGTTAATAAATAATCCAAAAGTCCTGGTAATCATCAAATATTTTAATAGAAATTAAAATGAGCCAAATGCAGCAAACAAACATTGGAAAAACATGAAGCTCAGCTGGTATAAAACTCTGGTTCTGTTCAGTCTGTCAGCTGCTGAATAAAAACCGGATATGAAACACACGGACTGTCTCTACACAATAACAAACCAGCATTATCATTAACAACTGCTGCGCTTTATTGTCAATTTAACATGACCGCTCACAATTCTGAGGCCTTTCTAAAGCTCATATAAGAGGGAATACATTTATAATCATATTTAATTAATTATGAAGAAGCTGATTTAAATAACGAGTCAATAGGAAACGCTAATCACAAACAATTCTGCTTCTATAATATGATGTAAAACTAAAATAAACGCTAATTTTAAATATTAATAAATATTATAAAAGTATATAAATAATACTAAAATAACACTGATTCCAGAAAAAAAAAAACAAGATGGTTAAAATATCTCTATATAAAATGAGACAAGAAAGGTGGAAAAATATTTAAAAATAAATCCTTTGGAATAAAATCCACAGATAAATTGTTCACAATAGAAACATGAACTAATAAAGTAAATTTAGATTTTCTGCTGACTTTCAAATAAAATCAAGCTATTCTTTTGAACAGGTAGTTATTTATACCATAAACTAACTAACTGCTAACCACAAGATGATATCATTTATCTGGCACAAAACAATGAGAATATGACCCTAGAATTAAACTGAAACAGGACAATTTACACAAAATATTAATAAATCTAAATAACAAGCAAATACTACACAACTGAACTGAAGTCAAATTGATAAACTTCAGTATTTAATAAATGCATAACATTAATAATTATTTAGTAATACATGGGTCAAAGACGAAAAAGGGTTTAAGAGTGTATTACAATGAGTGTAATACTGCTTTCAATTGTTGTCGTTTTTCCCCCAAAAAATGTAAAAAGTTTTCTGTTTAATGTAATTGCAATTTTGTTTTTGTGTTTCTGAGCAAAAAATAAATATCATACATTTTCCCCTGATTTACAGAAGAGACGCACTAAAATGTCATTCAGTGTAACAATCTCGTCAGGCATATTTACAACAAACAAAAATCTATTTATGACACATTAAAAGACTAATTACTTTCACCTCAAACACTAATTAGCTGTAATTTAGCATTTTTTAAATGTGCCACTATCCTAGGTTTGGCCCATTTGTCAGTAAGAATTTTTATTCATTTAAAACACAATAAAATGTAATATGCACACTTATTCTTTTATATATTTTAATATGTACAGGTCAGAATAAGCATGTTTTCATTTTAACATAACTGTAAGTGTTACACTGAATGACGATGTAACATTATTTCAACCAAATTGTAACATTTTACTCTTCAAAAACTTATTTGAAATGTAGACACTTTACTCACATCTAATGTGCTTTCTATGGACATAAAATCACTTTTGTACATTTCTTTTGATGCAAACATCTTAACGTCTTTGACCCATATACAAAGAAACACATGTTTATTTAGCTTTTTAAAAAGGTGACAGAAAGCTACACGGTTTTGCGTTCGCAGCTTGCTGGAGAAACCTGCTTCAGCACAGATCTGCCTGAGAGCTTCATCTTACCTTGAGCTTCTGGAAGTGTGTGAGCGTCTTGCAGTGTGTGTGTCGAGCCGAAGACTCAAAGTGATAGAACTGATTACAGAGACGGCAGAGAAAACCAGCCACAGGCACCACAAAACTCGAGCCTGCCACAGACACGCATCAAATTAATGCACGATCTGAGAAATAATGCTTTTGAAACACATCTGAGAACAAGAGGTTCTAGTGATGGACTGATATCAGCTTTTCAGATGACTGGTGTAATACTCGTACATAGATATAGCAACTCAACTAGAGCAAATTCAATTGTTCTTATACATGAACTTTCTGTAGACCGTTTTAAGACTCGAAGACCCTCAGAAAACAAGACTTTATATGTTCATTTTGCGTCTTAAGTAAAAGCATTGTGATTTAAGGATGTTTACGTATTTTTTATTGGACATACTGAGGAAAACATTCATTTTTTGCAGTGCATGCAACATTTAATGCCATGACTGCTTTAAGACTTTTTAAGGCCTCAATTTGAAGAAAAGTGAATTAAGAGTTTTATAACCCGCAGAAATATATATCCTGAATAACAGAAATAAAATGTGACCCTGGAGCACAAAACCAGTCATAAGGGTCAAATTTTGAAAGTGAGATTTATACATCATCTGAAAGCTGAATAAATACGACAATATTTGGCTGAGATACAACTATTTGAAAATCTGGAATCTGAGGGTGCAAAAAAATCTAAATATTGAGAAAATCATCTTTAAAGTTGTTCAGATGAAGTTCTTAGCAATGCATATTACTAATCAAACATTAAGTTTTGATATATTTACGGTAGGAAACGTACAAAATATCTTCATGGAACATGATCTTTACTTAATATCCTAATGATTTTTGGCATAAAAGAGAAATGTATAATTGTGACCCATACAATGTATTGTTGGCTATTGCTACAAATATCCCCCAGCGACTTAACACTGCTTTTGTGCTGCAGGGACACATATGAACAAAAAATCACTCAAAAACATCTGAAGACAAAGTCTTCTCATCAAGGCTGCTAGCACAGGTGCATCTAAAAAAATTAGAACATCATGAAAAAGTTATTTTGTAACTTATTTCAAAAAGTGATACATGTAGTGAATCTAGAATATATGACAGTTTCACTTTTTGAAACAAGTTACAAAAATGCAACTTTTTCACGATATTCTAATTTTTTGAGATGCACCTGTATATTTTGTAAGTGACAGAAGGGGAGGAAACCCTGAGGCCTGTGGCAGATGATTACCCACCGTACTCTGTGTCCGAGTCGAACTGCTCGTCTTCGGTCAGATCCTCGAGTGTGACCTCCATCTGCGCAGACAAACCCTCCTGCAGGAGACACACAGAGTCACAGCAGCTCAGCATCACACACACAGAGAGAGACACGAAGATCTCGCACCTTCCCGTTCTCCTCTTCCTCTCTCTCGTCGTCGCTGCACTCGCCGTCCTCTTCACCCAGAAACACGTCAGCGTTCATCTGATCCGACTCCTTCCACAGCTGATGCACACAGACGAAACACAGCAGCGTTCCCACTGAGATTACAGCCATCACTTACACTTCTGCTCATATTTTGAATTAGATCTTATTTTTAGATTTTCATTTTAGGGCCCTACGAAATCCGGTTTATTTTTTCCCAAATTCCATTTTTTTCTTTCACGTGTTAATTTTTCTGGATTCCTTTTTAATGGTTAAATTGAATTTTATTAATCAAAAAGCATGTCTAACTAATTAAAATCATGAAACTTACATAATTTCACATCAATTTATTAAAAGTAGTGCTGTCAAACGATTAATCACATCCAAAATAAAAGTTTGTTTACATAATATATGAGTGTGTTTACTGTGTATATTTATTATGTCTATATAAATACAAACACATACATGCATGTATATATTTAGAAAATATGTACATGTGTACACATTTATATTCTTATATTTTATATATAAATATATACAGTATGTGTGTGTATTTATATAGACATAATAAATATACACAGTACACACTCATATATTATGTAAACAAAAACTTTTACTTTGGATGTGATTAATCGTTTGACAGCACTAATTAAAAGTTTAACAAAAATTACATGTTTAGGGCCCTATTTAATTTTTTCTCACCATGTTTTATTGTTACCAAATTCTGTTTTAGCATGTCTAATTATTTGAATGCATAAAACAACTTAATGTATTCTTACAATAGCCTTATAAAATGTTTTATTTTCACTATTAGTTTCTGTTCATATTTTGAATTAGATCTTATTTTTAGATTTTATGTTTTCATTTTAGTTAAAGGTTTAGTCATTTTGTTTTGTGTTTTTGTCATTTTTAAATATCTATATAGCTTTTATTAATTTTTTACTTAGTTTATTGGGTTTTAGTTACTTTAGCACTTCAAATTAAACTAAATGAAAATTAAAAAGTTTGCCTTGGCTACTAGCTAAAATAAAAAAATATTTTTTTAAATATATTTTTAATTTAAGAAAAACCATGTAAATACTTTTTTTTTTACTTGAAATAAAACTAACTCAAATAAAATAAAACAAACACTTCATCTCAGCTAGCTGCCTATGCAACTTTTCTCATTTTAATTTAGTTTAACTAGACGTACTGAAATAATCAAAATGGAAATAAAAATTAATAAAAACCATTTAGACATAAAAAAAAAAAGTCCAAAACACAAAACAAAAAACTAAAATAAAAATGAATGCAGAAATGATATAAAATAACATAAAAGATTCAAAATATTAATGCAAACTATAATAGTTACTCAATTATACTAAAATAACAGTTTTACGTTGAAAAAATATATATCTTGAGTAGGATTTACTTTGAAACAACTTTCACTCAAAAATTGCTCATAAATTTCACAAATAATTCTAAAGAAATGGCAAGTAAAACGTCTTAATTTTCACTTTGAAAAAAATA